GGGGGCGGGGGGGCAGACGTAAACGTTAACCTTATTTCAAGCAGGCACTGCCACGCTAGGCTAGGCGTGTGAAAGTAAGAGACAACACAGCGCACGTTTAACTCACGCTAAGCGGTGCGCCGTTGTAGAGCATCGGCTGCTCCCGCTCCACCTGCTTGGACCGGTGGGCACCAGCGGAGGTTTAGCGTTTATTATCATTTTGCAGTGGTTCAGCATTTAGCCAGAAATACACCTTTGTCAGAGTTCCACTTTTAGCTGCGCTTGCACAGGTGTAGCACGCGCAGCCCTGTAAAATGCACAGGTGTTGCAAAGTGCACACTCTCAGTTCCAGCCAACCAACAGAAACAACACACACGCGGCATTTGTACAATTATTGGAGGTCAGCACTAAGCACCCTGTCTCTTAGACTGAGCACAGCCTTTTGTCTTTAGTAGCTTCTTCAAGTAAAAGAAAAAAAAATCTTACTCCTTTTATTTTTTCAAATATATTTTACTCTTCAGAAAACGACGTCCCCTTCTGAGGCATTTCCTCTGCTGTACTTTCCCTGACAAGGGTAGACTGCAAATAGCAGTGCTACATTTCGCACTTCCAACTGAGATTATACGCTGCTTAATTAGTGCAAGGTTTTTAAGCTGGTGATCTCTCAGTTATCCATGTAAGAAGTCTGCGAAGGAAAATAATTTTTTTGAGAAGTGTTGTAGTCTTCATTGCTGTTTTGTTGGTGGCTCACAGACTTTTCCTCCCCTTTTTGAAGTAAGGGGTCTTCACTGTTCCAGTGAAGCCAGCCTCCTTTGACTTAATTTCCTCACTCTACTCTCCTAAAATCCATATTCTTCTAAGATAAAACTTATTTACAAATGTAGTGATCTGTCAAATAAACACAAATTATATTCCCGTATATGTGTATATGTATATATACTTTATATATATATATAAATGTGCATCCATGTATATAAAAGCATTCCATTGTTGAACAGATGATCCATGACAGCTTCCTTGCAAAGATGAAGCTTTTAGTACTTTCACCATGAGAAGTATTTTGTAGAATTCCCTTCAAAAGGGATTCACATTCTCCAGGAATACCTCAACAAGTTTGATCTTTTGCTTATACTTGCTTCATGAGATATCTAGAAATACATTTTCCACTTTGCAGCCTGACAAAATTTCAAGACAGAAGGAGACGCTTTTGCAATGCACTAACCTTGTAAAAAGCTTGAAAGTATGCTGCCCTTCGCACTCTACCTTGCCCTCTGGCCTACATCAGCATATCCTATCGTAATGCATTAATTACGAGAATAATTCAGTCAGATCACTGACATAATCACAATAAATGGTTTTGGTTTGAATCAACATGGATGACTGCTAAAAACTCACCCGAATTTTAAGATGTTAGCATTCCATCACATAAGGCATTATAACATCATTTTTATTACTGGAATCAGAGAGGCCTTGCCTCAGGCTTCTTATTCATAATTACTACTGGGATTGCTTTCACGCCTTCTTTGAGCCCAGCTACTTTAGCTCTTGACTTGTACCTCGTGCTCTGGCTTCCAAACTTCTTTACTTATTTCTTCCTCTAGAAACAACGGCTTCTTCGAATAGTGGAGAGCTACCGGGTTACTAGTGGATCTGTTACTTTTTGCAGTTAATTTACAGTGAAGCTTTTTAGGATATGCAGTAGGTAATTTGAAACTGATCAGTTAGATTTTGCGCCATCTCCAGTGACAGAATGTAGGAGTTAACAGAGTACTAAAAAGAACAATTTCAACTCCATAGATGAATGCTATTATACTCCATGGGGACATTTTTACTTGTATTTCAGTAATGAACTTAAATAATAGCATGTCCTCCAACAAGAAAGAGTTAATAATAACACATTCCAAGATTTATGTTTACAGAGCTGGAAACATTTACAAAAGACAAAAATGATTTTAATGAAGAGTTAGCATTAGCACTTTAGATTTCACATACAGTTTCAAAGCATTAGGCATACTGTGATTGGTACACTGATACCTAGATCAACTCACAGGATAGGGCTTGCTGCTTCAAAAGGGGAAAATGAATTCTTAAGCCAGAAAGTCATGTCACAATCCTAGAGGAAAGAGGAAGCAAAACAAAAGCAGGATATCTCTGTAAACTATCTAGAACGAAGGTCACCAATTTACAGCAGACAGTATGTTTTCTGTTGCACACTTAAAATTTTTCATTTCTTATCAGATCACCTGTGAATACCCTTCCCCTCTCAACTTTAGCCTTCCAACAGAGGAAGTTTGACATTTTTTTAAGTAAAAGATAATTTCTCTGAAGCTGTCTGGTATCCAAGTAAAATACGTGTTAAACAAGTTATGGTAAAGCTAAAAGAAAAATTTAGTTTAATTTTTCTTGCTCTTGCTAATGTTTTAATTCTATAAATTCTCCAGTTACTCATGATGTCTGCTGTTACTGTGAGATAAGGTCATAGCATATAATATTAAATATAGTCTGGAGCATTCCTTAAACATCATTAGTAGAGACGCAACCCCATTTTTCCTAACTTCTCAATTCTGGTACAAGTAAAACATTATCCTTAAAAACTGGTTTGGAACAAACATACTGCTTTCAGTTAGAATCAGAATATACTAAGCCATCACAAAACACAGTCAGATACAAGAACAAACAAAAGAATTACATCTGCAGCCTATATTTGCACCAGAAAAAAAAAAGCATTAAGGAAAAAATAACTGTACAACTGAACAGCCTATATCAGACGTACAGTCTCAAAAAATACACCATTTCCAGAAGCATACACTTTGTGATTTTTGTGCAGTTCAATTTTCTCCACTGTCTTTGAGAAGTAACCAGCAT